TCGAAAGTTGGATCCGCTCCTGCTAGTAGACGACCAGTGATGGCAGACTCCTAATAGGTGGTATGATAATACCTCCGCCATTCTATATTGTGGAAACACGGGGCTCTCACTAATACCTAGTAGGTGTAGGTGCCTGTTCAGACCACAGTGGCGTGTCATGACCCCAACCAGGGATCTCAGGGCCCAGCGACTCCTTGATATCAACCATTTGGATGTTGCCTTGGCGTTACTTGGGGTTCCAATCAACTATTTGGCTTGTCTACATCGTTCCACCTTTCTCCACATCTCTGTGGTGCCTCTAAGAGCCCAGTCATTTAGAACGCTTGCAACCTGTCGGTTACTATGTGAGGTTCGGCAGTTATTGGGACCGTAGAAGATCCGAGGCTTGCCAATGCATCGGCGCGCTCAATTCCCGCGAACCCCATGAGCGCTGGCAACGACACCAGATTCACTTTTTTCTGTTCTGCTACTTTGCTCACGGCATCCCAGCAATCCTGAATCATTGTACTGCCCATCTTAACACTTGAGAGTGCCTTGTGTAACCACTGTCTTAACACTTGCCTGACTGTCGGAGTAGACGACACGCCTGCCCCAGACCATCTCTTATTGGGCGACCATAAGCCGTCGGTGTACTAACATTGCACCCCTTATCGGGCGGCCACTGTCCTAGTATTACAAACTTCTTTTGTTGGGATTTCCACCTTAAATTTCCGTTCAAATCTAAGTCCTCTGTCAGATGTGACCACCTTTAAAACGTTGACCACATACGATTGGAAGACCCCGACGCATGGCGGTCCCTATTTTTGAATGTCCTTGAGATGGGTGGTTGTCATGCCTTGTAGAGCTACATTCTATCCTCTGTAGCGCCGCAGCGGCCTCCCTACGTATCCACAGGGTTAGCTCAAGGAGGGGCTCAACGCTAAGGAGGTCAGGTCAGTCTTTGCAGACCCGCCAGTTTTCTTCTCCTTCTCCTGCTCCATCGCCGGGCCACCAGACCACGTAGCCAGAACAGAGCCTCGGTCTTATAGCGGCAGTGTACAACCACTTTATAACTTGTGGTTTTAGGCCCCAGTTTGCCCAATTTTAGGCCTCTCCCACGTGGGCAAGAGCTTTTCCGGACAACATTGGCGCCTTATATTCTTTAATTTTTCTAGTCATGGTAAGAGTAATGGTAATCCGGCACTGGTGCACGATCTTTCTATTATTCTACATGCAACCTGCATTCTCTCGCAGACAACTCCCAGAAACTTTCCCTTAACGAGGACTAGGCCGTCGTCCGCATAGGTGTCGTTGTAGAACCGCCCCAGAAGCTCGTCCGTAATCCGACACCACAGGCGGGGGAAAAGGCAGCTGCCTTGTGGACTCCCCTACCTCGATCTGCAGCCGGTCGCACCTTATCGCACTCCGGACCCAGTTTATTATTATCAAAAGATACTTCCTCTGTTAGGTACCTGTATATAATCTTTTCTAACGTTTTCATAAGAAAATACGTTAAACTTATGGGTCTGAATGATTTAGCCTCGGGGTAGTTAGTCCCTTTTACCGGGTTTCTGATTAAAGACGACTTCCGCTGACCGCCAATCATTAGGGACATATCCCATCGCCATCGCTGACCCTGAAGATCCTTTCCAGAAGCAGGAGTAAGATATCTAGGCTCGACTGCAGCCTTTTTGGAATTATCCCACCTGGATCTGCGGCTTTTATATGGAGAAAATTACGAAACCGTTCATCTGATAGTCATCACTGACTACTTTTTTGGCCGCGGTCCAGTAGCATTCGTTGGGACAGACCTTGACCTTCGAGCCCCCGGTGCCCCCGTCGCCTGGGAAGTGTTTCGCTAGAAGAAGTTGTATGGTCTCCTTTCTCGTTTCCGTCCAGGTGCTATCTTCCTTCTTAAGGGTTCTTATAATGTTTCACCTCTCAGGCGCTGAAGGACTTCATTCCACCACGGGACAGTAGAGGTTCCAACCACCCTAAGTTCACACGATTTCTAAAGGCTGATGTTATGGCATCATTTAGCCTTCTTACCACGGGTTGCTCTCTGGAGGTTATGTCACCTTCGATATCTTCGAAAATGCGCTCAAAGTGTCTTTTCATTCATGAGTTGATCACATATGTGTGGATGTGCCATAGGGCGTCTTTAAGTAAAAACTACCGATCGGCTTAAATAGCCAGATTTAATTGAAATATATCTTGCTAGCTTAGAAAGCCACATATTTATAAGATTTTCATACATTTTTGTTCATACTAACAAATTATTTATCATATCATTTAAGTAAGTATGTTTAGACAGCGGGTTTGCAACTGAATTTCGGGTATTGTTCTGCATTTGTTTATTATTAGAATTACAGTTAATAGTAAATTAAACGGTTTTCGAAAGCTGGACAAAAAACTGAACTCACATCAGCTGTTTGTTTATTTTAATTAAAAACTGGATTGATGCTACGGTTTACATGTAGGTTCATCACACACAGTATCGAGTCTTTTAATCAAAATAATCACCTAGTGTGAGCGAAGACTTTTGCTCAGGGAGACAGTTTAATTCACTATTAACTGTTACCAAGATTTGTGATATTTCCTTGATGTGCCTTGACCGATCTAAAACACAAAACTCAAGATATCGTCCTTTTTTTATATTAAAAATAGTCTTGAATATGACCCGAATAAGATGCCGAAACGTTTACAATGCCACGTACGTTTTGTAGATCGTATGAGGTAGGCCTGGGTAACTCAGTGAATTTTTAGGCGCTGGTGGTGCGCCAACTGAACGCACCGGCGCAGTAACTCAGTTCCGTTGTTGAGAAAACGTTTCTTAAACTATTAGTAAAAATGAGGTGACCTCTACTTAGTTGTTTGGATAAAGTGGTAAAACATTACTGAAAAAAATGTCGGAGATCTTTTTTTTAGATGTTACTATTCTAATCTCGGATCTGGTAAAGTTTAAATCCACTTTAATAAATGAGTTATGATTCATCGCTTAAGGAGTTCTAAATCATCAACTCAGAGAGCGGCAACAACTGAAAAACGCAACTCAACACAGTGTTACCCAGGCCTAGTATGAGGCATCTAAGGTGCCTTGTCCTAGATAATGACGAAAATAAGTAGGCAATTTAATAAAATATCTTACTGATCACATTATCGGTCAATGTCTTGGCAACCATGTAGGGTTTACAGGATCCGGACAAATCACAGCTGGTCATCATTATAGCTTTGCAGAGCTGTCGGTGATGTCTGTTTCCCCAGTCTAGTCCCTGATCATTGCTGATCTGCAGGAGCTTGATGCGAACTTTGAAATAGTTGGCCAAGTCCGTGGCAAGGATACAATGTTTCATTTCTGCGCTGATTTGCTGCCATAACTCAGTCGGAATATCGTAAAACGGAAAAGCCTAAAACCGTTTTAGCCAAGTTGGTACCTAGCGCTTATTCTAGAAATAGACCGAAGTTAGAACGCGCGATTACCACATTATATTGATCTGAGAGTCTTAGTCCTGACCTGAATTTTAAAATACATTTTGACGCAAGTAATGCCACAAATGCAAATTAAATACAGTCAGAAAGAGCGAGTAGAAATATCTTACTATACAGAAAAAAAAAATATATATATACAGGGTGAATCAAAATTGGCTTCATTCCTTTTAAGGAGTAATAACGGAGTACGAGAAAACTATTCAATTTTTTTTTCGATAATTTCTACAAGATTTTAACAATTGAAAATCGAATTTCAACCTTGTTAAACATTATTTTGAAATTTTTGATATCAAAAAAGTTCTCTTTTACAATTTTTTGATGTAAGGTCAAAGCGGCAATGATATTTTTTTGTCATCAATAGATAGTTACACGTGGATAGCACTTGTCAATAATACCAATAATTGGTCAAACCGTGACTTACTTCGAAGCTCCTTTCACGAATTTGCGGATATGCGATTAGTACCAGAGAAATGCCACAGTAACATAGCAGAAGTGATAAGAACTCACGCCAACAAAGGGCTAGAGATACTGGAGATTGTTCGGGTTCCAGACCCAGAGGAACAAGAATTGGAGATGCTTGCAGCTAGGACTGGGTAAATCAATGAATTTTTCGGGGTTGGCAAAGTGTTGCGCAAATGCAACGGCGCTACGTAACGTAACTCAGTTTCGTTGCTTGGAAATGTTGATGACTTTTTTCTTTATTTTAAAGGACATTAATAACAATATTTTTAAAATGTCTTCAAATTTCAGAATTTTTCAGTTTCAGCCAAGTTACTCTTTCTTCACTTAAAAATGCTGTCAATATTAGGTATTTTCAGTGAAAAATTATCGTACTATCAATATCGTCGTTTTGTAAAAAATGAAACAATTTTCTATAAAAAAACGAAAGTTTATAACAGATTATTTGGACATATACCTTCATCACCCTAAAGACTGTAGAATTTGTTAAAAATGTGGTTTTTTAGTTTTGACTAATTTTTTGGCTTTACTTTCTACTTAAAAACGCTCTATTTTGTAGAGTTTCACTTAAAAATGCTGACGATCTGGAGGACGTTTACGCGAAAAATTACAAGGTAAATTTATAGCTTTGTGAAAATTTTATAAAAACTTTTTTCAGTGTCGAATTCCGGACTTAAACTAAAATAAATTCCTACCGTTTTTTCCGGAAAACCATCAAGGTTTTCTCCAAAACCAATTAGAAAACTAAAAGTTTTTAATCCAAAACCCAAAAAGCATTTTTTTCTGGTGGTTTTCTTCTTTTTTGACAATAATAGGGTGGTTTCAGCCAAAAATTACTAAATTAATGTTGCTAGAAAATTCGCCTCATTCATGCCAGCATTTGCAGGGTACTTTAGAAAACTTTTTTACCGAAAGTAATTAGGACTATCTTGAAAAAACGACCACAAAGCAAAAGTCGCCGCCCTCATCGCTCTGAGGATTTCTAAAGTTCCTCTAAGTTTTCAGGTCATTCCAGTTTTGGCAAAGTTTCCATTAGGTAAGCAATTCTTTCTACGCAAAAATCGCATTATTTTTTAGTTTTACTTAAAATACTGGCAATGCTCAGGCATTTTCTGTGAAAGATTATAAGATACATTTTATTAGAACACTGCGCCTCCTTAACCGCTTTGCAAAAATGTTTAGAAAACTTTTTACAGCTTCGAATTATGGACAAAACTCTAATAATTATTAGTAGGTCCTTTTCCAAAAATATTTCCTCGAACTGAAAAAGCGAAAGTTTATAATCATTTATTTGGAAAACACTTGGAAACTGGAATTTCTTTACTTTTAGGTCAATATTTATAAACAACACTGTCTCTAAACAGAAAAACCGCGTTTTTCCTAACGTTTTCCTGTAAAATACTACTGAATCTTTTATGCAAAAAAATGAAGAGATCGATTTTATATAGAAAACATGTCGACTTTCTTTGGACTTAGTTCTGTTGCTGGGAAAATCTAGATTACTCTTTTTTAGTTGTTTTAACAAAGGAGTAAAACGTTACTCAGAAAAAATGTTAATAACCCTTTTTTAGATGTGAAAATTCTCGATCTCGGGTCTCGTAAAGCTTTAAGAAATGAATTATAACTCGTTAACCGATGAGTGAGAACTCGTTAATTCAGAGAGCGGCAACAACTCAATAGCGCAACTCGACACAGTGTTAGCCAGGCCTAATTGCAGCAGAGCCTTCCAGGGGCACTCAGAGCATTGCACAACAACTGACATTTTCCCAGGCTCCAAAGAAATACCGAGGAAGGGTGTGATTAAGATATTGACAAAAGCAAAGAGGAAAAAGACTTATTCTATGAAACACTACAGGAAGAAGTAAGGAAGATTCTAGTAACAGAGAAACTCGTTACAATGGGCGACCTAAACGCCAGAATTGGGAACAACATAATACCCGGAATAAATCATCGATTTAAGGAAGACCATCTTAACGGCAATGGTGAAGCATTTCTTCTGAAAGACTTCTGCACCCGCCACAATATGAGAATAAGCAGCAGCTTCTTCAGACATAAACCGCAACACAAAATTACCTGGCAAAATTCTCGAGGACAGTGCTCCACAATAGACTATATCATATCAAATAGAACCATACACCCAACTGAAGTATTAGAACCCAGAAGTCTAACTTCCGCCAACATGGGTTCTGACCATTTCTTAGTCGTGTGTACGTTCCGAATAAGAATACAAAAAAAGAACTCCTGCAAACATCAACAAGGAAAAATTCAATATAGAATCTATCAGAGACCCGACCACTAAAGAACTCTACAACGCCTATCTCAAAAAATTGAAATTAACTACATCACAGAGCAAAATGACGTAGAAAAGTGTGGGAATAAAGTGAATACAAATATCGCAAATGCAGCAACTGAAGCTATAGGCAAAAGAAAAATCTCTACAAATAACGCCTTCCGAAACAATGGTATACCACAGAAGCACTAGCAAAAGAAAAACGGATTGCCTACTTAGCATTCAGAAGCAATAGAACACCTAAAGTACGCAACCACTAAAATCAAACAAGAAACAGAGTCAACATAGAAATAAGAAATATCAAACGAAACTACTGGGAGCAATTCACCACAGAAATGGAACCCGACTTATATGGCGCGCAAAAGAAAATCTGGGAAATGCTGAGAAGAAGAAAACTCGACATTACAGAATACGGGCAAACACAACAAATAGACGAAGCAAAGTGGAAAGACTACTTTAAAAAATTATATGCCAGCGAAGAACAAGAAAGGCTCGAAGAAGAAAAGGCGGAAAATCCGGAACCGGTGGAAATATCAGTGGAAGTCACTAAAAAATTGCGAGATAGATTAAAATAGAAAGGCGCCTGGCTTAGATGACATACCAAATGAACTATTGAAAGAGGGCGGACCAGTACTAATGGCGAAACAAAACTGTTCAATAAAATTTTAACAACTAGAACAATCCCAAACGAATGGAAGAAAAGTATCATTATTCCGATATTCAAAAAAGGTGATAAGAAATCTCCTGAAAACTACAGAGGCATCATCTAGCTCATCATCACTACTAGCCTCAACTATGAAACTGTTCACAAACATTTTAGAATCAATTATCACCGAACCTTTAGTTATGTCAGAAGACCAACAATGTTTCAGAAAAAATACATCGACGCTGGACGCTATCTTTACAATCAGGCAATTGTCGAAAAAGCCATTGAGTACGGAAAACCCGCATTTATGTGCTTTATCGATCTCACCAAGGCCTTGGATCGAGTAAAATTGTTTGATGTTATCAACATTTTAAGGAGGAAACACATACCTGAAGCTATTATACGAACTATCAAGCAGTTAAACGTCAACACTTTGACTCACATCTTAAAGAACCAAAAACTGACAGAGGAAATTCCACCACCATCGGGAATTAGACAGGGAGATTCTCTAAGCCCCCAGCTGTTTAACATCATAAATGAGATGATAAGTCACGTCAAGAACTCGGGCAGAGCGTACAGACTTACTTACAACTGGCGAAATAAAAATCATTTGCTATGCCGACGACGCTGTAATCATAGCTGAAAGCGAGGATGACCTTCAAAGACTCTTGCACTATGTCAAAGCTATGGCCTACAACATTCAAATATCCACTACCAAAACAAAAACACAATCATCTCCTAAAGTGTGTCAAAGTACCTTTGAATCATTTCCTCGAAGGTTTACGGCATCGAATGAGGAAAACAGATATGGGACTTAACCATACTTACTTTGTAGATGAGCATGGCTACTTGAAAATGATGGTTCTCCAGAAATGATTCATCATACAGTTGAGACAACGTCTGTTCAGTTTTTTGTAAAAAATTGTTAGTGTATCCCCCATGATCTAAATCATGGCACACGCAGGCTATAATAAGAGCTTTTATCTGAAAAATCACCCATAAGTATAGACGTTCTTTACATAACGTAGCATATGCACCTCTACATTGGTAAATAAGGATTTATTTCGCAATAGAATGTTGTACATGCAATGTGCAACGTTAAAAGCATGTTCCCAGTTATGATAAGGGTTTGGTCGATAACACTTTCTAACAGTTAAGATAAATTCTTTTAGGGCATGTACATTGACTTCTTGAAATCCTACCACTGTTCTAATCATGTAGTAAACCATCTGTGGCATAATTGGTTCTTCATCGATAGAGACGTACCATCTGAAACTGGAAATGACAAAAATGATTACGAGATAATTTCTAACTTCGAAATGTATTACTCGCTGAATCCGCTGGGTATTGAAACTTCGGGATTTTTCGAAAAGTTTGAAATATCGTGCACACAAGGCTTTAGTTGCAAACTGAGAAGGTTCAAATTAGATTCATTTAAAAGGTCCTGAAAATGTTAGATTGATCATAATTTATATATTTTGTCAATGATGAGAATGCTCTATCTAACCGTACGATGCATTTTATCATTCAATTTGGCATAGTGCAAAGCAAGAGCACAGTAGACTGAAAATGTTTTGAATAAGTTCTCATCTGACGATGTAAACACCACTCCGTTCATCTTGTTAACTACTTGAACCACACCTGAAAAGTTAATGTAGATATGAAAAAGACAGTTGACTATATGCTCTCTATAGCCCTTTAAGTACATTTCATTGGTTATTATGATTAGACAAGAAACATTTGATTTTAATAATACAAACACTCAAAATAACAACAAAATAATACAGTTTGTATGTTTTCGCAGAAGACATATTTGACACAATCATTCTTCATAGGACTCTTTTGCTCTTTGCTGTAAACATGATAATTCAGCTAATTTGATAGCTCGAGTTGCTCGAGGCTCGTAAGGGCGCAGTCAAGTGAATTGGCTCGATTCATCACATGAGACCTTGTTCTGGGATAGATTTAAACCGTTTTTATTTTTGGTTTTTATTTATCAGTTTACAGCTTGTATTTTGTGAGAGAAAAATATTCTAAGCGCATTTGCATCTCACACGGGTAAACGAAACATAGACTTTTCATATCACCAACACTTTTTGTTAAATTATAAAAAGTAACAAGTTCTGTGCAGAATTTGTTCGATTTGTGTTTCTTCTTGGTCATCGAGGTATTGGGCAGCTTGGGCATAAGTTCTATTTGTCCTTTTTGGTTGGAACGTTGTGATAATGATGGGCACGGTGTGGAAATAATTTTCTTCTCTCAAATTGGCGAATATAATTTTTGTTACAGCTGTTTCAGCAGCTGTAGATTTCGCAGCCTCGGTAGTTTGCGCGGTGTTTACTCGAGCAGTTGGTGCATTTCACATTACCATCTCGCATTTTTCGAGGCAATTCGTCGTTAGATGACAGTCGGCATATTTGACGCATGGGGGTGTTTTACAGTAATTCTTGAGCCGGCATGCATAGTCGATCTTTTACGATGCGCCGGCCTCCCGACGTTCGCATGAAGGAAAATTTGGTTGCACAGTAGATCGGTTAGTAGCATTTAAATGTTGATCGGCGTTGAGGTGGGAATTTGTCGGAGAGGGGTGTAGGCATCTCTGAGTGATCGTCAAAGCTATTTTGTGAGCGAAGCTGAAAATTCTTAACTTCTCGTTTTTTTTATACTATTTTCTTTATTTCCATATGGCGTTCCAGTGCCGACTTTTAAAATGACTTCAACAGCCAACTAAAAGCACTGCTGAACTTTTACCTGAAAATTAATACTATCACCGCAAAAGCGGACGGCGCGATATTGCGCATGCTCATTCTATGGGAGACGAACAACTTTACATCAAAAACTCGTTGCCTTTGCGTCGACGGCGGCACGCTCGGCTATCCGCCAAAACATTGCCCGGCAAAGTGCCGACGATCGACTATGCATACCGGCCTTGGTGTGTCCGAAGTCTCGAAAATGATTGCATTTGCATGATGATTCTTGTTATTCGTGGTGGCTCAAATTTGACTATTTTATGTCCCAGTAGGGTCGTGGGCCATCTTTGTTGTTCATGTTCGTTTTTAAACCTTTAAATCATATTGGAATATTAAGCTTTATAATTTTGTGTTTTATATTGTAAACATCAGTCACTACGTGTCCACGGGTCCGTAGTTCCTTGATGATGTACTCTGGATTAGTGAACGGGTGCATTCCTTTTAGTACTGTTCTGTAAGTTTTCTCGGACTTTGGTTTACATGTGTGGTAGGTATTTGGTTCCTTTTTCATCTAGAATTTCAATCAGGATAGAAAAGTGTTCTGGGTTTGTTAGTTGGATTTTCAACGTTTCCGAGCCAATAGTTTTGATCGCATAATATTCTATGTTATGCTCTTGGAGTACCTACTTGGTGAATATTATCAGTGTATTGGACGTTGTACACAGTTATTGGTGGAGGCTGGAGAGGTTTAACGAAGGTTAGATCGTCTTCGGTATTGTCTTCTACATCTGGTTCCAAATCACCAAAAGTCTTGATGGTTGGTTTACACCAATTAGTTTGCTTAGCCAGTAGTCTGTGAGTCTTGGCTGATTTTTACTGTGAAACTCCTCGGGGCTGCGCATGCGCTTTGAATAACTTGCAGTCTTCCAACATTTCGGTGATTTCTGATGATTGTGGTGTTAATTGCATGGGTTAAGGCCGGTATGCATAGTCGATCTCTTACAATATGCCGGCCTCCCGATATTTGCCGAAGGCAATTTTGGGTGCACAACCGATCGGTTGAGCATCTGACGCACGCTCATTTTAATGTTGTTTGGCGATGCTGTGGGAATTTGTCGGAGAGGGGTGTAGGCAACTCCGAACTATCGCCAAAACTATTTTGCGAGAGAAAAAAGAATTCCCAACTTCTCGGTTTTTAAATATTATTTTTGTTTTAAATATATAGATAACGATCTCGATGTATTGTGCAGTGTTAATCGGGATAATTCGGACTTAAAATTAAATTTGATTTACGTACCACAAAGGTACGTAAAGAAAATACCAACAAGTTGTGAGTTTGATAATATTGGTGTATTCGAGTATGCGAGTATTCGATTATTCGAGTATTCGCTTGAGAATATTCGAGTGAGTGAGAATATTCGAGTAATGACTAGACATAATTGTCTGTTATTGTAAAATAAAGAGTTTGATTCCGAGCCCTAGTTTCCACCATAAATATGTCTTTTCTTAAATAAAATAGTTATTTTGCTAGATTTTCCACGATTGATATAGTAAATTTCCGGGTTAAAAATCTGATGATTTTGATGAAATTTGAAGAACTCAGCTGGGATATTCACATCAGACCACGAGATGATCACGCAATTTGGTCATATAATTGACGTCTTTTTTAGGAGCTTACTCATAAATTACGTTTTTTGTCAGGTTCGGCGCTGGATGAGAGGAACATTTTTGTGCGTTAGTAACTTGGCTTTTGGGTTCAAAGCTGCAAATAGAAGTTTCTCAGACTCGCAAAACTGTTACCGACACAAATCGAAGCACCTGAGTGTCAGAGGTCGATTCGGAAGCTCGCCACAGATTCTATAAGAAATAAAACTGCTAATAAATATTTTTGGAGGCCAGTTCGACATTTCAAGTTTCCACCTAAAACACTGTAGATATACCTATGATTCGTAGTTAGCGACGGAAATAATTGATAACTATAATAAAGCTAGGAAACAAGGATTGCATATGTACTGTAAAAATGACAAACCTAAAATAATTTTTTCCAGGCTAACTATAGGCATGCAAAGAATAGATCGTGTGATAAATCCCGTTCTTTTTTCAACTTCAGTAAAAAACCGGGGATCGTTATATGCATCCCTCAAATTGACTGTTACTCCGGTTCTGGCTACTAATCCTGGAATACTACGGTCTTTGGCTAGACGTACTTTAATATTTTTTTTGCGCATAGTTGTTCCTTCCGAGCCATCAATTCCTTCGTCAAATACTTCTGCTGTCATATCGCTACTCTCTGGATCTATTATGAAAAATGATCCACGCTCAGCTCCTAGTGTTGCTTTGGCAAATTTCTACAAAAAGCAATTAATAAACTTTATTAAAATCTAACTTAAAGAATAATTTAGTTAGCCATGGACACAAATTAATATGAGTCTCTTGTGCGTGATGGCTGGATATGTTTCAGTAAATATCCAATAAATTGAAAAAATAAAATTATATTTAATAGGACTTAATGCTTTTTGAAAGTATTAATATCTGGCCTGTATTACACGTATTGGATAAATTCATTATTCTACCATAGAGAGAAAAGTAAAAAATGGAGAATAAAGAAAGCAACAATGGAAAAGATTAAACGATGTCAAAGGAAAATGAAAAGTGCTATGCTTGGAGCGAGATTACAAAACCGAATAAGAAACGAACATATAAGACAGAAAACAACCCACATAGCAAAATGATATTCCCAGAATATTCCTGGAACACTCATGTGATGGACATGCATATTCCTGGGACATACATGAGTTACATTATGAACATTCCATGTATGTCCCAGGAATCTGTCAGAGTTAATACACTGAATGTAGCTTATGCGAAAATTTTTCGTGTGTGGTTTTCTCACTGGATCTGGAGATCTGGAGATCTGGTGATCTCTAGCATCTTCAATGCTTCAAGTCCACAACAGCGACATT